GTCATTTTTCATATTTCTTTGCATAACCTCACTTTTTGCACTCGGATTTGATTCTTGCTTTGCATACATCCATGATATTTCAATTCCATGATATCTACATTTTCACTTTTGCAAAAAAACATGTTAAATGTTTACTTTTCTTGTAAAGGGCATGAATGTATCACTTTTGGAAATTACTCTAAACTTGAGGGGTTTTTGCGTAATTAAATAAAGTAATTATTTTTCATCTCAGGGACCATTTTGTAATTTATTTTGGAAGACATTTTCAAAAAGGACCGTTTTGCAATTATTGGAAAATGTGATAAGTGTCACATTCCTAAGGTGCCGCTTGTTGATATTGTGGAGGAACCACTTGGAGGCTTAATCTCTTGACACATGGAGGGTGGAGATTCACCTATTTGTTGACCTACGATTGGACCACTTGTTAGCCTCGATGGTTGACAAGTGTAGGCTTAGGATTTAATCTAGGAAGCTTACATAGATTCATGACAAGTGTAGGACTCACCTTTAGTCTTACAAGTGTGTGTGTGAGAGAGGTAGTGCAAGAGCACCTAGTGAGTGGAGAATCCCACCAAATTTAACTTAGGGTTTTCATTTCATTTTACATTTCATCTCTTTCCTCTCAAGAACCCTAACCTAGCCACCATTGAAGACAAGCTTGGTTCGAGGCTTTGACTTCATTTTTGACCACCCTCCACTCACCTTAGATCATTGAGCTTGGAATACAAAAGCCTTGCCTCATCTTCCTCTTCATAACCCTAGGAGGAAAACTTGAAATTCCTTTGCTTTCTTTGGATTCAAGAGGAAAAATCCTCTTGTGAGGTAGGGGGTGTTCTAAATTATGTCTTTGATGCTTTTTATGTTTTAATATTTTGGTACAAATGGAATACATGTCTCTAATAAAAAATTTAAATGAGTTGTTAATTATATCTTGCATGAAATTTAGCTAGGACATGATTTTTGGAAAGGCCATGACTTGATTCATAACTTATGTTAATTTGAAGTCATTTAGGGTTGTTTTGAAATCTAGAGGAATTAGTTAATTAATTTAATTATTTTTCATTTAAGTGTTCTTATGACTTAAATCAAGTTTTGAAGTGATATATGTAATAATCATGATAGGTTCTTGAACATAGATTAAATTGAGCATGTTTGGATGAGAAATAAAAATTAGATAAATTAATTGTTTTGTTTAATTAATTTATATCCTTCTTGTATTAATGATTTGAGTATGTATTGTATGCTAATGGCATGTTTAAATCATAATTCTAGACTTGTACTATAATTGTGGGATTATATTCCTAATATTGATGGACATTGTTATAAAGAGTAACAAGTTGTATAATGGTTATTCAACATTCTTCATGCCATTATAGTTGAACTTAGGGCATGTATTGTGTTTCTAAATTGGTTTGTGCATGGTTGATGGCTTTACATTGTATATATATATATATATGTTATGTTAATACATATATGTTGTTACACAAGTTGTTGATTTTAGAAACTTGGGATGTCGCTGTAATGACAAAGGCTAGGGCATGGTTCTAGTATGGGGGATTGTCCCTCTACAAGTCTAGTGTGCACATAGGGAGGTTACCCATAGGCTTGTAACCCTAAAGTAACCATGGTGTTGGCCTGATCCGGCGTGTTGTCGAAGTATCCACTTTGGTTTGATTTCGCATTTTAAATTCCAAATTTGATAGCTATGTGATATTGCATCTCATTGTGCCATGTGAAAAGTTCTAATGTCATTTTAATAGCATGGACTAAACTTTATTAAATTGCAAACTATGTAATAAGTTAAACCTATGTATACACATTCCCTGCGAGTAAGCTTGTTTATTCAGCCCAAAGTTACTGGGTGTTTTTCAGGTAAAGAGGCATTATTGTGGGATGCTCAACACTCTTAGGAATGCTTGACTACTTGGAGTATTTTTGTATGTTAGAATATGCACTTGTTAGCATATCATGCTCCATTCTTATTTATTTTGACAAAATATGTATTTAATGTTCAAACTATATAATGTACACTTAAGTGTACCTTTTGATACACCCTAATTGTGTATGTAAGGAGGCCAAGGGCCAAAGATACTTATATGATATGTATGCTACTTTATCTTTGTAGTTTGTATGTGAAATTTAGGGGATTTCATCCATTGAAGGGTCATATTTTGCATCTGACGTCCCATGTGGCCGTAGGCTATTATAACGTGTCTACTTCACCATTTTACGTATGCGTGCATGTTTAAATTTCATAAAACTCTTAAACTCTAACTTTTGAACTATTTATGGATGAATTATGCAAATTTAAGCAAAATACATGCATTGGAGTATCATTCGAAGCTTCGTTTTGATTTAACATGTTTTAGATGCTTGCATGAGACTAAGAAGTGTTTTGAGACTTGTTTGGATCATTTAGGAAGCATGCTTAGCCTTTAAACCAAGCCAAGCATGTTTCCCATGGATCACAGCAGGTTACAACAGCTTTTTTTGCTACTGCTAAGCCTATCAGTCTGCTGATGGCAATCATTAGTCGGCTGATGAATGTTTCGCACCATTTCAGTAGCCTTTTTTGTAAAAATTGGAGTTTCAGCCAGCTGATCATTGAGTTTTAGTTGGCTGATGATGGGGGTTCAGCCGGCTGATCCCCCCTGAAGCATAGTTTCGTTTTAGTATCTCAGATTTCTTGGGTTAACTTCAGTGGGCTATAACTCCTTCATTTCTAATCCAAATTAGGTTATTCTTGAGCCTAAACTCAAGATCCTGAAGTCAGCATTCCAATGATACCAAATACACTAAAAAACTCTTATCGTAGTGAGAGTTATAGTAGTTTTAGTAAGATAGGGTTGTGCTATCTCTTAGACGGACGATGCCACTTCGTTCTAATTTCATATCTTTTCTGTCTGGACTCCGAATCGGGTGATTCTTGAGTCTAAATTCATTAATGTTTTGTTGTCCTTCCAATGGTATGCTTGGTAGCATCCATTTTTCTATGAAATGACCATTTTGCCCCTAGGTTCATTCTTGTCCATTTTTGAGTCGTCGTTTCCACATTTGTTTTCCTTGGGTCTCGTGACTTCATTGAGGGTCACGTTGGTGTCTTATAAATTTGTAGTATCTCTAAAAACCTTTGTTATACCTTTTGCTTTCGCATTCTGGATTCATCATTGGATTTACGCTCCGTTCATCTTAGGACGCACTGGCCTAAAAACCAGGGCCGTCACAGGTGGTATCAGAGCTCCTAGGTTTAAAAATCTTAGGATAATGGGTTTTGGGTGCATATCATGCTTCTGTTGATCTACTTTGATAAATACATATGCTTTTGATAGCATGTTTTGGCATTGTAACATGTTTATGTGTTTCTTGGCAATATGTTTGGTATTATAACATGTCTTTATGCATATTTGCTTCAGTGCTTAGTTGTTTAAAGAGGTTTCCTTAATTGCTTTAGCATGACCATAGTTTGTTTACCTTGTCTTACTTCATGTTACATGCCTTTATAGTGTGAGTTGCACTCGGTCATAACAGCTTGTGTTATTGTTTACCTCTTTCCTTATGTACATTTAGCATTATGGTTGTCATGCGTGGAGAGTCTTCATGTTAGTGTGTTGAGGAGTAGGTTGATGACATTGAGTTTACGAGGGGTCCGGGAAGGCCCAGGATTCCAGTTCGTGGCATGGGTCCTAATCCACCATGAGCGCCAACTTATAAGAGGCAGATCGCACAGGGAGTGGCTCTAGGATGTTAGAGTCCATTCAGCAGATATTTCATCAGCATATTACAGGGATGCAAATCCCAGTACCGGTACCAACACCAGCACCAACACCAGTTGTTAATGAGGCCTTGGACTACTCCATGAAGTTATAGACGGTTAAGATCGACCAATGTGCAGGGAGTGTGGATCCGCTTGCTTCAGAGGCATGGCTTGACCTCACGGTACGCAGGCCTGATAGCATGGCAATGCCTACAGACCAAATGAGGATCTCCTTGACAGCTTCTATGTTAATGGGAGATGTCGATATCTGGTGGAAGTCTATGACCAATATTCATGATGTGGAGGTGATGACTTGGGAGGAGTTCAGGACATTATTCTTCGACTACTTCTTTCTGAGGGCTATGAGGCAGGACATGAGAGCGTAGTTTATAGGTCTTTATTAGGGCATGATGAGTGTTATTGAGTATGAGACACTCTTCACTTCTCTTTCCCGCTATACATCGGAGATGGTAGCTACCGATGAGCTCAGGGCAAAGAAATTTTAGGATGGGTTACATCTTGATATTAGGCCATGGATTTCAGTGTTGGACTTGAGGACCTACGGAGAGGTTGTATAGAGGGCTACGATGGTTGAGGCAGAGGACCGAGATCAGCACAGAATCAAGGGATCATATAAGTAGTCTCGTGGAGAGGCTTCATCGGTATCTATTGGGGGTCAGTGGAAGAAGGCTAAAGTCGGGGACAGTTCTCGTGTTCAGGGACAGTCATAGTAGGCTCAGTCTACACCCACAGTTCCTATTCCTTCGGGGAAGTTAATTTGTCACCATTGTCAGCAACCAGGGCACATCAAGCCTCATTACCTGCAGTTGCAGCCTCAGGGCAGTCGTTTTCAGACAGGTAAGTCTTCTGCTTCGACACAGGGACTTCAGGAGGTTTGTAATTATTACAAGCAGCCCGGATATTTCAAGAGGGAGTGTCCACGCCACAGAACAAAGCACAGAGTGGCACTGGTTCACAGGCTACACCGGCACAGTCTGCAAATGTTCAGTTAGGTTTTAAGGTGCCTCAGGCACCACAGCCAGTGGCACCGTCAGTTGGTTCTTATCCGGGTAGGGGTTGTACGCCCACTGCTTCCGGACATCTGTCAGGCGACCAGGGCAATTCTCAGAATTCAAGGGCTCAGGGATGAGCTTACACACTACCACAGGATGATACCTTCGTATGGACTTCTACAGTTCGAGGTATCCTTCTAGTTTTTAGTTCTTAGGCTAGTGTTCTTGTTGACATGGGTGCGTCGCATTCATTTATTTCTGCTTCATTTGCACATTCTTTGGTTCTTGAGGTCACGCAACGAGATTGTCTCTTTTGTGTTGATACACCAGTAGGGGGTCCAGTATCTTTAGGCCATCTTTGTCAGGGTTGTGCTATTGAAATAGCTGGGTGGACCTTAGAGTTTGATTTTGTTGTCTTCGACCTGACGGGCTTTGACGTCATTCTCGGGATGGACTGGTTGTCTTTCTTTCGTGCTACGATCGATTACTTCCGTGGAAGGGTGACTATTTTCACTTCGTGGGGGATCAAAGTGATTACCACTCGATGATGATTTTCAGTATTGGTGACTGGAGTCGCCACAAGTGTTACTTGGCTAGCCTGTTAGCTGAGGAGGATTGCAGCTTAGGCTATGTTTTTCCGGCAGTTGTAGACGAGTTTCAGGATGAATTTCTAGAGGAGTTGATGGAACTTTATCCTTTTCGGGAGGTTGTCTTTGCCATTGATGTCATTCCCAGTAGTGCACCTATCTCTATGGCACCGTATCGCATGGCACCGGCAGAGCTTGATGAGCTGAAAGCTCAATTGGAGGATTTGAAAGATAAGGGCTTTATTCATCCAATTGCTTTACCCTAGGGAGCACCGGTTCTTTTTGTGAAGAAAAAGGATGGGTCTTTAAGACTTTGCATCGATTATCGCAAGCTGAACCATGCTACGATCAAGAACAGGTATCCTTTGATGACTTGTTTGATCAGTTAAAGGGAGCCACTTATTTTTCGAAGATTGATTTGAGATCGAGTTACTATCAATTGAGGGTTATGGATGAGGATATATCTAAGACAGTTTTCCTTACACAGTATGGCCGTTACGAGTTTCTAGTGATGCCATTTAGTTTGACCAACGCTCCAGCAGCTTTTATGGACTTGATGAAACTTGTATTCAGTGACTATCTTGATCAGTTCGTTGTGGTTTTTGTTGATGACATTCTCGTATACTCAGCTAAGGTGGAGGAGCATGAGTATCATTTGAGGACAGTGTTACAGATCCTTAGGGATAATCAATTGTATGCCAAGTTCGAGAAATGCGAATTTTGGCTACCGGAAGTGAAGTTCCTTGGACATGTTGTGTTAAGAGGTGGTGTTGTAGTGGATCCAAAGAAGATTGAGTCAGTGATGGATTGGGAGCATCCGAAGACAGTGTTCTAGATTCGGAGTTTTCTTGGCCTAGCTAGCTACTACCGGAGATTTGTTCAAGAATTCTTTCGTTTAGCGGCAACTATGACTCGACTTACCGTCAAGGGGGTCAAGTTCGTATGGATCGAGTCATGTGAGGTTGGTTTTCAGGAGTTAAAGGTCGGGTTGACTTCGGCTCTGGTTTTGATCATTCCTGAATGTGGTTTTGGTTATGCGATCTTTTGTGATGCTTTGCGAGAAGGTTTGGGTTATGTCATGATGTAGACAGAACGGGTGGTTGCTTATGGGTCTTGACAGTTGAAGACTCATGAGTTGAACTATTCGACACATGATTTAGAGTTGGCAGCAGTTATCTTTGCCCTGAAGGGGTGGAGACACTATTTGTACAAGGAATTGTTTGAAGTTTTCTCCGACCACAAGAGTCTCAAGTATCTCTTCTCTCAGAAGGATTTGAACTTGAGACAGCGCAGTTGGGTTGAGCTCATGGAGGATTATGACTTTGAATTACAGTATCATCCGGGTAAGGCCAATGTGGTGGCCGATGCATTGAGTAGGAAGTCGCGGGGAACTCTTGCTTGCATTTCCATTCATAGATGGAAGATGGTAGAAGAGCCTACAGATCTTGGTTTACGTTGTTATGAGGATGTTGCACTGGCTATTTTGTTTAGCCTTGTGGCTCAACTGGCACTTGTTAGTAGAGTTATTGCGGCACAGTTGGAGGTTAGGGAGATGAAGGCCATCCATGTTCGGATTTCAGGTGGCGAGAATGTAGAGGGTTGGACCTTACATTCAGACGGTGGTCTCAGGTACAAAAGGATGATGTTTGTTCCTTTGTCTTGTCAAGAAGATATTCTTCGGGATTTTCACCACTCTTGGCTCACAGTTCACCCAGGTGGTATAAAGATGTATTACAATCTGCGGTGGCAGTTTTGGTGGTAGGGCATGAAACGGGATGTTTCATAATTTTGTGCTTGGTAGCTTGGATTATAGAGATATAATTCTCTATTGAGGTAGGGGTGGTAGTATGTTTATATTCTAAGTGTTTTATAATCCTTGGAGTTTAATATATATTGTGTACATGCTTTTAATATGATAGTTTTGCATATTATAGGAAACCCTCACTTCTTGACATATGGTTTATTGGATTAAGCATGTATGTTATGTATAAACCATGTGTAGAGGATTATAAAATTTAGTAGTATGTAAATTCTAGAAATTTCACATGTGTTAATGATATGGAACACTTGTAGAATTATTGATGTTATATACAATCTCTATTGATATGAATTGCTATATTTGTTGTTACAATAATTCTATGTCCTTGTGAATTACTAATTGTAATTATTTGGAAGCTTATTGCTATAATATTGATATTTAGTATATGAAGCTTATTGTTAGGCATGACCTAAGTTGTTAAGTTAATGGTATTTTATTGTGTATAGTACTAAAATGAGGAATTGTCATTTGGCATGCCATTCTAGACTTGGAACCCAAAGACATAGTTTGTATAGTTTTAAAGTACTTGTGCATAGAAGGTGGTTTATGACGAGGTCGCTTCCAATACTCCAAACTAAATGCAGTGAATGTGTGGTTCAAGAAAAGCCTTTTATGTCAAATTTAAATTTATAAAAACCACTACCAACACCACTACTAACGTAGCAAGAGTGAGTAGGGATCGTCCCAAGGGATCATACGTGTTGGAATTTCAACTTCGACTCTAGCGTACCAAATGATTGCAAAAGAGAGTTGGGTTGGTTGATTAAGCTAAATTGAATTCAACTAAATAAAATAATATGAAGTAAACAAGAGAGAGAGAGAGGTCTTGGGGTGTAGAGATCACCACCAAGCAATACTATTCCAAACCATAATCAAGTGACTAATGAGGGAAATGAATGTGTTGCAACAATGTTGTGTGTGTAAAAGACATTCAATTGGTAAGGGTGACTCAACAAGTGCAAATTGTCTCAATCAACATGTGTGACGCCACAATACATCTATTGGTGGAGGAATATATTATCTAAACATCAGGTGAAGATAACAAAATAACAATTCAAGTCATTGAACCTTTCATTAAGCTCATAGTCCAAGCAATCCATAAGGATGACTTAGTTAAACATGCATTATCTAAACATCATGTGAGAGGTACAAAATATCTATTGGGAGAGGAATAAATTGTCTAAACACATGTGAAAGATACAACATATCATAACTAGTCATTAATCCTTCATTAAGCTCAAAATCCACATACACCACAATATTAGAGCATATGCTTCTTGCATTCAAAAGCATGGAACATCAAAGAACAAGCATGAATTGTCTTCCCCATCTAACACTACACTACAACTACACTACTAGCATGAAAATAAACTAAGGGAGAGTTACAATCCATCAAGGAATAAGTATGAACCATCAAAAGACATAACAAGAGCATTCCATTAAGCATATCATCTTAATAATCTCTAGATCTATAGCATCAATACACATAGACATGCATCAAAAACACTAAATCTAGAGATAAGCAAATGAATATCCTACTCTAGCATACATAGACATATGGATAGAATAGAATAGTCAATTGGAAGCATTAAACCATACAAACCATGAAATAATCAAGATTTATATATACATGAATATTAAGATGTATCATACAACACTAATCCCTCAATAATACACAAGATTAGAGTATAGAAAGCATGCTTGGGGCTAACTCTAGCCCCAAGAGGATGTCTAGCCACTCATGGTAGTGATGATCCAACCCTCAAGGGCTAACTCCATGGCTGATCCTTGTTGGTGAAGATCTCCTCCAAAGGTTGCTCTAGCTTCCTCCCTTCTTCCTCTCCAAGAATAGCCTCTACGATGATTTTCAATGTGTGACAAGAGACTCTAGAGACCCCCTCAAAAAGTGTATCATATTCCTTATATAGGTAGGTCAAATACACCCCATGATGAGCTGTGGTCATGCAAGGCATATTCTCCAATCATTGGATGAAGGACGGAATAAATGAGCTGGACTTTAACTTTTTCTCGCTGGAGGAAGTTCGATCGATCGAACCTTAACTTGGATCGATCGAAAATGGGTTCGATCGATCGAACTGCATCTTAGATCGATCGAAGTGGTTTGACTCTTCCAGATAAGGACAAGGCTGAGATATTTTCAAGATATTTATGGGGAAAAAGACAAAAGTGGTTGGTAGGCGTACAGCTGTGGATAAGATCAATCATTTGAATTGGACAAAATAGGGTTTGATCGATCATAGATGATGTTCGATCGATCGAACTTGGAATTTCAGCAAAGGCCAAGGTTCAATCTATCGAGAAGTACTGTGATCGATCATAGATGTTTGATCGATCGAACTCTAAGTTGGATCGATCGAACTTTTCAGCTGCACAACTTGATTCCTTTTTGCTCCTTTCTTTCTCCACTTTGCTCCCTCATTTGGTTTATCTCAGGATTGCTTCAATTAAGCTTTTATTTTGCTGAGTTAGCTCAATTTTGGGATTAGTGCCTGAAAATATAAATAACACGTAATAAGTCTAAAACGGCAAAGTAAGATAGATAAAGATACTAGAATGCTTAAGCTTAACGGGTTTAAATGTGCACTTTTTAGTGCTCATCACACCCCCAAACTTAAATATTGCTAGTCCCTAGCAATGAACTAAGAAGTAAAGGAATGAAATAAACAACTATACAAGTATAAACTGGAAAGCAAGTAAAATGATAACACCATTTTCGTTGGGAACACGATTGCATTTAGCATATGTAACAAGCCTTTTAAACCCCTAGGTTACCCCTAGTGGACGAGTAAAGTCTCGTGAGGGTTTCCAGAAATGGTACCCACAAACATTAAGCTCATTCTTTCAAAAGAGGCACCAATATTGCAAACAAGCATTGGGAGAAAACTACCTCAAGTATGCAATTTTTCAACCGTTTCTAAGCAATCTCCCAAAATTTCAATATCAAGCAAGCAAGTATGGTCCTCCACATATCAAGAAAATGATCATGAAAATCGAAACAAGTCTAGAATCCATGTGAGAGGTCCGGCATCAAGTGTGTTGCTATCTTAGCAAACTAGAGAAGTAATCACATCCTTACCCTCAAACTAGCACACAAATCTAGTACCGATCATCAAGATAAGAGAGTGGACCTTTTATTAAAGCTTTATTGTTCTAGGTGCGCTTATTCTTTTCACTCCATTTTTTTTATTTTTTTTATATTTTTTTTATTGAGGATCAAAGATGGAAATATTGTGCAATGTGTTGATCTCTTAAGCTTTCTAGAAGATTCATGTAGCGAGCTTTAGGTCAATGACTCCCAAACCAGATGGCTTTAGGGCATTAGGTGTTAAGAC